AACAAAAGGTTTTCCTCCTCAGAGACAAATGTGAATAAACTTATACTAATCTCCAAATATTAGACTTTATTAATTGTATTAAATTACCTTATCGGTCAAACATTCTATTCTATATTGAATAAACAGATTAATTGAATTTTAATAATCTAAACAATAAACGAGCACTTATACCAAGCCTAGAAAGAAAAACGATATTTTAATAATACTCGCAAAATCATTGAAATAATAAAAAATACAATACTTTATTTTTTATACAAAATAAAAAATTTATAAGTAATATACATTCGTTATACTGTATATTGTATGAAAAATTCAGATGTGATTGTATTTGTGCTAAACTAAAATCGATGTTTTATTCATAAAATAACAATTAATAATTATTTATCACGGTGGAAGTATTAATGAAAAATTATTAGAGAAAATTATTATATAAATAATCACTCTAACACTATTATTAATTACTATGCGACTAGGGTATCAAATAGATACTTAAATGTTATTACATAATAATCAATAATACAATAGCACGTCATTAATACAAATATCAAAATGTTTAACAATATTAAATAGAGAAATGGATTTTTTATTTGTGAAATAAAATTAATATTCTATTTACTTATTTAGAAGTAAAATACATAAAAATTAACGAATTGATTTAATATGCTGCAATTCCAAGTCGACATTCAATATCTCATCTTAATTGACTGGAGCACCTAAAAAATAAATATTCTATGTTAGTTTAAAAGTTACTTTTGCCACATACGCTGACTGTACATGTAACAAATTAGAATTTTTTTCTCTTATCAATTCTTATCAATATAATTTTATTATCCATGATTATTATAAATTATTATATATTGTTAAGAGGTTTATAAATGAAAGAAAATTGTATTTTATAAATTATTTAATATTTAAGTACCTTGTACAGAGTTTCGTAAAAAAAAAAAAAAAAAAAAAAAAAAAAAAAAAAAAAAAAAAAAAAATAGTAAAAAGAAAATAAAAAAAAAATAAATAAAAAAAAAAAATACTATTTTAATAATTATAAAATAGAAAACTCTTATTTGAATGGGTTGTAAATTGGATACGCTTTCTCTTAATATTTACTATAACCTTAAATAACCTTATACAACAATTATAAAAAAAATACCTTGTAACAATACCATTCACCCTCAAATCTAAATTTCTTCTAATAATGAAAATTGAAATTTAATAATTTATTCTAATCTATGGTTCATTAATTATAATTAAAAAATAAAAAAAAAAAAAGTAATTACTTAAAATTAACAATGGTCCCTACGACGACTGTTATCTTTGAATATTAAAATAACGCATACATTATTTAAGTATAATAAGTACAATCGAAAGTAAAATCAAACATTAGGATGTTCGCGTTAAAATATTAGTTATCGCTAGAAATATTTTTATAGTATAAGGTATATGTTTACATATAACATAAAGTTCGATTAAAAAATACGAAGGTACAAATAATTATCAAGTAATTATCAAGATAATGTATTACGCATTAAATATTTTTACGAATATAAAAAATACTTATAAAAATTATCTTATGATTTACGATGTTTCACAATACTTTGTAACTACATTTTTTATTTCTTTTTTTTTTTTTTTTTTTTTTTTTTTTTTTTTTTTTTTTTTTTTTCGTTTTAAACTCAGTGTACGTATTTCACAAGTAATATAAAAAATTTTATACAATTATTATTAAAATTAATTCTGATTTAAAAATTTACACATTCTTTCATAAAATGTTTGCATTTTACTAATTAATTTCGTAAACGTACATATTATCAAAGTATAATTTAACAAATTCATTACGAGGGAATTTCGTGCCAACAGCAAACAGTAATACATTGTAGCCTTTTCATTTTGCCATTTATAAAATATAATAACGTTAGATATTTAATTATCATTAACATAAAACAATTCGTATACAGCAATTTCATTCCTTGTTTCAAAGCTTTTGTCGATGTCACAAATTCTTCATAATCAAATATGATTCATATTCAATATTTCTATTGTATTTTGATAAACAAATGTACAAAGATGCTTTGTAAAATCGTTAGAAAAATTTGTAATTTTGAAGAAAAAAAAAACATCTTATTTATTTAACTAATAATATTTAACTGTTGAAATATTTTTCTATTATATAATCGTCGGAGTATAAATTAAAGCGAATACATTGATTTTTCATAAATTTATTAATTTTATAACTTCATTGATTCGGCAGATAAAATTTTTTTTCATAAAAAATAATCTCAATTTGCATTTGAATTATTATAATAATATAAAGTTATATACAGTAAACTCATATCCTGATTTATAACTACGGATAACTTTATATAAAATATAAATGCATAATATAGCAATAAATATTTCAATTCCGTTAATAATTCAAAGTATATCCTTATATATTATTAATATATTTAATGTAACATTTAATGCAACGAGTTTCCAAAATTTCAATCAAAAGTATTTGAAAATGATGAACTAAAAAAAAAAATTATAATAACTATTTTCAATTGATCATTCGATGTTAATTATAAATCTCATATTATATATTTGTTGTATTTATTACCAGAAAAGTCCAATTTACATCTAAAGTATGATCCAAGTATAATTGGAGTGCCATTGTATAATTTAATGTAGGCCAACTTAAATTGTATAATAATTATTTTGAAACATTGAACTTGAATTCTATTGGCAACTGCTCATTTTCTCCAACGACACTATATTGAACTTTCTTTTAGAACTGCATTAATTAATAAAATAATTTTAATGCTAAATATGCAAAAAGCGAGCCACGTTTTATAAAAAAAAAAAAAAAAAAAAATACGTGTTCTCATAACGTTACGTGACGTTTTACATGATAGGACACCCAACTATTATTACTCGATAACAAATGAGTGATTGCTATAATTAGTCGATAAGTATATACAGAATACTGGGTAAAAAATTTTATTAAAATATTTTTAGTATATTGAAAATTTTAGAATATCTGATTGGCATTATACATAATGTCTTTTATTTATAAAAATAATTATTGCTCTAGTCAGTTGATAAATTCATTTTTATTATAATAATAAGATTAATCTTTTTTTTCTTTTTTTTCTTTTTCTTTTTTTTTTTTTTTTAAAAAATGTTGAAATATTACATGAAAACAAAGTTAAACCAATATTTTCATCGAAATTTTGATTAAATAAAAGTAATCGACAAAGATAAAACAAATATATATATATATATATATATATATATATATATATATATATATATATATATGAATACAAAGCTTTATAAATTGTATGCGTAACAATTACGTGCTTAACTTGTTAATTATTGCGTGTGCCACATTACCCGCATGTGCATATTCCAATTATTATGTACTTATGATAAAAGTATTAAGATCAAAATAGTTTTTAAAAATATATATGCTTATAAATTTTTAGTTTTATCTACCTTACTAGTCAAAGTAAAAAATCATAAGCTGATAGACATTTATCTATTATCATTTTTCTATCCAAATTTTATGGTAGCCTAATTTTAAAATAAAATTCAGCATCGATGAGTTATGGATAAAAGAAAAAAAAAAAAGACGAGAAAAAAAAACAGACGAAAAATTACTGGAAAAAAATGGATAAATGTAAAGATCTTAAAAATTTAATTAAATCAATTAGAAATGATTTTAATTAAAATTATATATTAAAAAGATGAGTATGCCATCGTAGTAACCACACCACCGAGACCATTAATTCTCTGTTCAATATGGAGAAATATTTCCGTTTTAATTTTTAATTAATATCAACTGCAATGAAAGACATTGCAATTATATATTTTTTTATTATTTTATTTTTTTATTTTTTTTTTTTTTTTTTTTTTATTTTTTGTTATTTTTTTATTTTATTTTTTTTTTTTTATTCAACTCGAAGGATCGAGTATATTTTTCATTTATTTTGTAATAAAAGTGTAAAATTATAAATTCTTAAAAATACTCGTTTAAATAAAGGTAAGTAAAAAATCGAAATAAATAATTAATGATAAAATCAGTGGATAATGCGCCGCTTTCCTTAATTATCTATCATACCACGTTGATAGACTTTCTTCATAAGACACTTTCATTTCTTATATAAAAAGTGAATGTTACTGTATTCGATGTATTAATTTAAAGGGGGGAGGGAAAAAAAAAAAAAAAAAAAAAAATTAAGTTTGACATCTTTACCGAGACTTAAAACATAATAATCATATCTAACCAAAGTATAAGGAATTTAATTGTAAATGGAAGAATACCTTTGAGTATACACACACATACACACTACGCACACACGCACGCACGCACGCACGCACGCACGCACGCAACTATGTATATACCATGAAAATAAATTATTGAGTATACTTATGATAAATAAAAAAATGATTATTATTCTGAATAACGTGTTTCACTGTACTTAAAGCTGCGTTGATTGTATAGAGAAAAGAGAAAATTCTGCGCCGGACTCTCATGTAAATTATTAACGATTTGTTCAGTCTGTTTGGAATGAAATTTCACTTCGAAGAAGTTTGTAAGCGTATTATCAAAAGAAAGAAAAAATTATTAACGCTCGCTTATATATTTCAGAATAGAACAACACTTTATTATGTCAAAGTGCTCTTGAACTGCTTCAGGAATGTATTTTTCTACAATAATTAGAGTAACGCCAGACTCTAATGTCGAAATGTCGAATCTCTCGTGTCATTTTATTAAATTGCTTGTTTGCTTCGATTGAAACGCCGGGCAAATGTTTTTATTTGAAAAATACTCGCACCGATGCAAGTTACAATTACAGATGCCAGCTAAGTAACAGGGAAGAGTAAAGCGCGCTGATGGAGGAAGAAAGATACGGTGGGCGGCGAGGATGAAGGATGGACGATGAGGATTGGTGAAGATGTGTGTGAAGGTGGGCTGTGGGAGGTTTGGAGGTGGGAGGTGTATGGTGGAAGATGGGAGGTGGGAGGTGGGAGGAAACGCTTTACGTACGACCTCGGTAATCAGGCATCGGCGATTCGTCGTTGCGCGGCGATTCGGCTCGGCGCCGCATCCCGGTGACAGCCCGTCGGCTGGCATAATCGGCCTCAGGCTGTCTGGTGATGGCGCTTAAAGTGCACGGTCAGGTTGCCCCTCTGCCTGGCCTTGTAGGGGCACTGGGGGCACTGGAACGACGGGGGCTTGTCGCCGCACTCGAGGCTCTCGTGCCGCCTCATGGTGCTCTTCCATCTGTAGCCTTTGCCGCAGAACCTGCAGCGGAACTCCCGGATCTGACTGGGCTCCTGGCCGACGAGCTGGGCCGTCGAGGGCTCCTCCTTTAGCTGACGGATCTGCTGCTGATGTTGCTCGAGCTGGTGCCGGGAGACGAGGCCGAGGGACGCCGGGAAGACGAGACTGTCGCGCGACGATGAGGCCTCCTCGTCCAGTCGCTCGAACTCCAATCCCAGTCGACCTCGCAGCTGGAGCTGCTGCTGGTGTTGATCGCTCCGGCTACGCGTCAACGGTCGGGGCTTCTTCGCGAACTGCTTGAAGTTACGCCGCAGCAAGGATATCATACTCAGGCGGCTGGACTTGCCTGCGGACAGATAAGCAGGAGGTTCTTTACATTAATTCTCCAGCTCGGAAAAATTTATTTGCCGCTCCCCTGCATTTTCTACTGCCTAAGCTACGAACTCGGTCAATACCACCCTCTCACACCATTCGCGCGCCACAAACTTTGCACGGGCTAGACATTCGCCATTTTAAGGATAGAGATCGCTTTTCCATTGCGAATCGTGACGATTGGCTCTCGACCAGCGCTCGAGAGATTATTCGATAAAGTCTGTTCAGTGTTAATTTAAAATTTTCGTCACCCCGAGTCTTTTCAAATGACTTGCTCGCACGTCCGCCCAACCCTGCTTCATCGTTATCTCCGATCATTCATCCAAGTCAATGACTCTCCTTCGTTTATCATTTCGGCGACACTATTAATCGACTATTATTATTTCAGTGTGTTTCGTTAACAAAATGTCGGATGCTTTTATAATAGAAAATACAGTGCTTATTCGTAAATATTATTCCCGCGCGAATTAACGAATATCGGATTTTCAACGGTACAATATTATTTCTAGTTTAATAATAATAACTAAAATAATAATTAAAATAATAATAATGATAATAATAATGATAATGATAATGATAATAATAATAAATAGTAATAGTAATAATAGTAATAGTAATAGTAATAGTAATAGTAATAGTAATAGTAATAGTAATAGTAATAGTAATAGTAATAGTAATAGTAATAGTAATAGTAATAGTAATAGTAATAGTAATAGTAATAGTAATAGTAATAATAATAATAATAATAATAATAATAATAATAATAATAATAATAATAATGAATAAATGAATAAATGAATAAATGAAAACGAAACGAAAATGACGTAATCATACATAAAGGTCTGCGGTGAGTAGGAAAATTAAAATCTAAAACGTGCAAAATAATGTGAAGACACTAAATACTTTTATAGATGATACCAACACCAGTGAAATAAAATGACTGGAAAAATGTACAACACATTCTTTGAAATATTTAAGATAATACAGTGAAAATTTATATCGAAATAAATAAGTAAGTGATGCTTTATAATTAAGTAAAAAATAATAATAATAATGAAAAAAGAAAAAAAAATTAATCATAATGAAATAATATCGTTTATAAATACATTTATTATTATTCATGAGACTTTATTTAACAATCCTCTTCGTACAATGATCTTATCAAAATTTCTCAATCATCATCGGCGCTCAATCTCATAGTTTATGATAATTAAGGTCAAATGGTTAATTATCTAATTACTTTATAATAATCTGCAACATAATAAACACATTTAGATTATGAAGTATCTTATTGGTAAAACATTAATTACGAAGGATCGTAATCACATGGTATATAAGCGATTATTACCATCCGATACGACATAATACTCAATTTTTTAATTAATTATTTACAGGTAAACTTATATATTACGTTATGATATTATTTTGTAACATTGTTATTAATTGTTATAAACATTGCTTTATGTAATGTAATTCTTAAGCCGAATTCGTTAAACTCGGCACTGCCATTAAAATCTTAGACAATCCAACGAGGACGTACAGATTGTCATCTGCCATTGCTGCGCTTAAAAAAAAAAAAAAAAAAAAAAAAAAAAAAAAAAAAAGATGCCTCGATAAAGTTAAAAAACAAATAGAAAACAATAGCAAAAAAAAGCAAGAAAATAACAATATTTACACAATCAATTGGATATCATTTCGAAAAGAAATATGAAGGCAAAACAATAAAAAAAAAAAAAAAAAAAAAAAAAAAAAAAAAAAAAAAAAAAAGGAACAAAAAGATATACGAGGAAATTAGTATAACAATTAAATAGACTAAATAACTAAATATTATGACCAAATAATAATATATACAATATAATTTAATTTCAATATAATAATATAATAATATAAACAATATAATTTCCTTATTAATAAATTTATTACATCTTTAAATAGCGGGAATTATACACTTTCCGTAAAATTGTTTTTGCATATGTTTGTCTTTTAATTATAAACTGAATAATTATTATATTGTTACAATACGAATAATTATCATATCAGTAATATCATGCATTTAAGTTAAATTTTGTAAATTTTGAGTAAGCCAGTGTATTGTAATAACTACATCATTATCCCCATGATAATTTAAATTTTATAATTCCCTACTATTTCAAATGATTATTATATGTTATTCAGATAAAATTATATTGGATTTAGCTACTACTTTCAGTAGCTTAGATTATTTTGTTTTTCAAATAAATTTCATCCCCGGCTTAGCGGGTCGGAGCACATTAAACATATCCTACGCGTTTCATTTATAAATATCGTCAATATTAATGGAATAATGTTAATGGAGTAAGTAAGATTAAAATAAATCGTATTATGTTGCTGAAGCTGCCGATCGTATCAATCCTATCCAAACATAGACAACATTGTCCGTCCTCTTGTGTAAATATACAACTGTCGAGTATACAATATAAAATAAACTCGGATTTATTATCGAAAAGTTGCTGGCAAAATACATTCTTTTAATAATAATTTAATCGAGTAGATGAAAGTAATATTGTTACATAATAATTAGATTGCATTTTCGTTATGCATATATAGATTAACACACGCATACCCTCTGCTATTAATTGCTCGAGTATTTTTCTGATAAAATGTTGGCTTGTGCTCGTTGACGTGTGTACACGACGATTACGGACCTCAATGGCTCTTCCTCAACATTTATTAAATCCATCCGCTTGTTCTGGCTTTATCTGAAATAAACGAAAAAGAAAACACATAATAATACGTGCTCTCGCGGTAATGGCAATGAGGGCAAAAAATTTTCATAAACTTACCAGTAACGAAGTTGACAATCATTATTCGTGATTAACGAAGGATAGAATAAATTTTCACATTCTCTTGTAATGCTGAATGTAATTAAATTATTCAATTATGGCAAAACGAGGAATAAAATGATGATAATTAAATATGACGATGAGATTAAAAACAAAAACAAAAAACAAAAAACAAAAAAAAAACCAAAAAAAAAAAACAAAAACAAAAACAAAAAAAAAACAAACAAAAAAAAATATAAACAAAGAAAAATGTTCGATTACGTGATTGTAAATTAATATACATGTACAGGAGGTTACTGAAGAGATGACAGTGGAAATGACAGTGGGAGTCTCAAAGTTGTTTTATTCTTAGCTTTATTCGAGTATAAAGTTTTACTTGTACAAAAATGTCAATAACATTTTACGCTTAATTAAATACTGATTAACGAGCGTAGAAAAAGTATTGTATAAAAAGGACTGATCGAACGTGTCGCGCACGATATACAAAATTTGGCAGTATACAACTAGGCGAGCTAATTTCATAGCTCTGCACATAAAACTAGAATTACAACTAGATGAATAAAAGCGCAAAGTTATGTAAGTCAGTCGATATGAAAATGAGTGTATGAAGGGGTCTCGTTATTGCTTGTGAAAGGCGCATACAAAGTCGTCGGTACGCGTCGGTACGCGTCGGTATGAACAAAAGGGGCGATGGAGCGGTTAGAGGCGTGTGGTTAGAGGCGCCTACGTATGAAAATAAGTCAAAGTTGCCGCCAATAATCGTTAAAAGTGTCTATAACGTATCCTCTCATCTAGCATTATTTACTAAAATATTATACATACATATGATATGCGTGAAGAGGCGGGGGAGCAGGAGGAGGAGGAGGAGGAGGAGGAGGCGGAGGGGGAGGGGGAGGGGAGGGAAGAAGAAGAAAAACGCTATAGCTCTAGCCTATTCTAATAATCGACCCGAAAGCCCATAATCGACCAAAGGATGTAAAAGTCCCCCGGCAACTAAGTTCGACAATCGTCGCTGAGCCTATGCGTTCAAGCGATATGGTATCGTTAGATTTTGGCGGAGCCGAGGCTGAAGAGGCCCCCGTGCTTGGTTCGCATGTGGCTCTTCAGCTGGTACTTGAGGTAGCACTTGTAGTCGCAGTGGCCGCAAAAGAAGCCCTTCTCCTTGCCGCAGCTGTAGATCTCGTGTCGCTTGAGAGTCTGGGCGTGCTTGAAGCGCTTACGACACCAGGAGCACCTGTGCAGCTCCCGGCCCCCGTCGTTCAGATGTTGGCTGCGCTCGTGCTGCTCGAGCGACGCCTTGTATCTGCTGACGAACGGGCACGAGGAGCACTTGAACTCGGGCTGCTTCCTGCAGGTGAGCCTCTTGTGCCGACGTAGGTTCTCGTAGCTGGAGAACCTAGTGGAACACTCGCTGCAGGCGACGCGGCCGTCGCTCCCTGCCCCGTCCGCCTCGCCCCTCTCGTTGCCGCATATGGCCTTGATGTGACAGTAGAGGGTTATGTACTTTCGAAATATTTTGCGACACTTGGAGCACTGGAGCAGCAGTTGCGAGTCGCAGCGTTCGCAGTTTCCAGCGCGCTTGCGCGCCGGCTTCCTCGACGACTCGCTACACTTTGGGCAGTGGAGGAGAATCAGCTCCGTTGGACCTGTCGCATCGTATCGTGAAAGTGTAATTTTTTTTTAGCTGCGTGAAAAGTCCGCCTCTCTAATGTCATGGACGCTATGGTATGCACAGCTTCATGGTGATTCAAGCAGGCCAAGATGGTTAGAGGGGGCCATCGTTGGCGGATTTATAATTGACCGGCGCCAGGTAGGCTCTTGTGATTCGAGAGCGAAAAGGGTGGAAACGCGATGGTTAACCACCACTTGGGCTTCATGATATGTCTGTCTGTTCATATTTTCTCTAATTTTTTTACTTAGATAAATAACCATGAAACCGATATACCTTTCTTATAAGACTCATTTCCGATTGAATATTGCTTATATTGTGCATTGACCGGCCGCGAAAATCGTTCTCGATCGCACTATTATTAGCAACTATTATCATTATTAGCAATCATTGAGCTCTCCATTACAGTGTACGTAGATGAGAAAACATGCTATTTAAAATATTCTATTTGAAGCGCGGATGATTGGATTTCTTGAAAAAGAAAAAAAAATCCCGTTACATTTCAATGTATAATGAATAATTTTTTTTTTTTTTTTTTTTTTTTTTTTCAAACGATTAGATCGAATAAAGTAGAAAAATATGACGTTGAGAATAAGTAAGGAATATCAATGAGAAATTATAAGTAAACGTGTGCTAAAAAAGTTCGTATATGATTTCATCGATGAATTTTTAGTGAAAAACTTTGTTGACAATTACTATTGCAATTATATATATATATATATATATATATATATATATATATACACCACATTATACGACACAGTGATACTACTAAAAATTTGTTTAAATGTCCGTTCGAGGAATAATTGTTTTATAAATAACCACCGGGGGAAAAAAATAAATAAAAAAAAAAAAAAAAAAAAAAAAAAAAAAAAAAAAAAAAGGGAAAAACAAAACTGGGAATAGCAAAACTCGAATGGATTATTATACTTTATATAGAAATTTACAAAGTAACGTTATTCCAATTTATTTTAAATTTGCATGATTTCCATATACGCAGCGAATGTATGAAAGTAAAATTTCAAAATATACTTACAACTAAATCTTTTAATTGACGCGTGCTTCTTTAATTTGACCAGTGATTTTTCAAAATTGTCATCTAAAAAGAAATATTACATCGTCAAATGGGATTTTGCACCTCCGAATACAAACGTTTAAAAAACTGTAATTGTAAAGTAAAATTTTTCTTTATGCTTATAACAAATACATACCATTGCATTGCTTTTCCGTTAATGATTTTACTCCACATGAGTTTAAAGGCTCATCTGAAATAAAAGTTTACATTCGGCAATTATTAATTATATCATTTTGGCAAAAAAATCATTCCACATGCTTCGATAGCAAAATGAATAAATAACTACCAACTATTTTCATCCAGCTAGTTATAAACTAGAATTATCTACTAAAAAACATATGTGTGTAGGTGAAACTAAGCTAAAAGTACAAATCAATCTAATAATGTTAAATACGGCTACATTATAAACGCTTAGAAAGGAGATTTTAGAATTTTATATTTTATTTATAATACATTTATTGGCGCATTATTATTACGAGAAGATAATCGTATAAAGTATTAATCATTATTATTGTACACTTGTTGCTTATGTCACTTTGCTCGATATTAATATTATTAACGTAGGCTTATAATATTAAGCGGTAAACATTGCAAAATAGTATGATGATTCGTTGTAAATTCAATAATCGTTGCGCTCCAATTTCAACAAACTACTGTAAATTTTTATTGAAAATATTACAATACTTTTATTGGAATAAAATTTTCTAAGGCGATCTTAATGCAATTATTTTTTTGTCTTCCAAAGATCCTCAAACTTTTCCTGCCGTCAACATAACAGTAAAGTTTTTAAGATTGGTAATCTTATCCAAGATTAGCTGTCGGTAACTGAAGGAATTGAAGTAAAAATAGTTTATAATTGCTGTTGTTGTTGTTATTATTATTATTATTATTATTATTATTAGTAGTAGTAGTAGTAGTAGTAGTAGTAGTAGTAGTAGTAGTAGTATTATTATTATTAAATATGGTGCTGCTAAGCAAGTATCAAAGTAAATGATTATTTATATGTTTTTTATTTATTGTCATTTAAAATAATTTTTTGTATAATAGAAAAGTCGAAATAAATTAAAAATTCAAAAAATAAATGTTAATATCAATGTAATTTATTAATGATGATGTACTTTATGATAATAATAGTACTTTGCGACGAATATAATAAGTTTATCCTTAAAAATTTACGCATATTAAAATATGATATAAATATGATCTGTAATTCTTTTGTTTATTATTCAAAAAATAATAAAATTAATAATAAATACAGTAAATTATAATATTTATAATATTCAAAAAAAAAAAAAAAAAAAAAAAAAAAAAAATTAGTATTTTTTAAAGTATTGTTTAAAAAACTATCGTATTAAAATTAATATTGTAGACATAAAAATATCTTGAAATTTATAGTTGCAGTTCATGGACATCATTTCTTGATCAATATTTTCTTTGAACGCTAATGAAACAATCTGTAATAAGATTTAATTGGAGATAATTGTACGTTCAATAATCAATACTTATTCATGATTTTTTAATAATGTAATGTAATTTATTACGCACCTATAGACTCGTCCTTGACTTGCTAAAATCAAAAACAAAATTTTGAAATATATTATAATGATAATAAAGAGAAAATTAGTAGTCTACTTCTCGTTTCGAATTGTTCAAGAAAATCTTATTCTTCATCGAAGAATCGTAAAATACATCAAAATAAAAAAATTATTTTCAGATTCAGATAATTCGATAAGTTATGAAAATAATTTAAACAACATATAGTAATAAAACAAAGTATTTGTTCATTTAAAATAGTGATATATACTATATTTAAAACAAAAATAATATAATAAATTCATTTTGAAATAATAAAAATCTCTCTCTCTCTCTCTCTCTCCTCTCTCCCTCACTCTCTTAATATTGCACTAATTAATTTCTAATTAATTTTGCGAGTGTAAAAATGTCTTTTTGTTATAGTCTTCAAAAACAAAAAACAAAAAAAAACAAAAAAACGTGCAAGTAATATAAATTAAATAGTAAATTATATCTGTATGAATCGCTTGAAATGGTTTGTTATATTATACAACAAAAACTATGTATTTGCGAATGTAATTGTCTGTTAATAGAACGTAAAGTAATAATTGAATAATACGTGTTCAAGAAACAGCACAAAGTATATGTTTCTTATAAATTACAGTTTTTGAATGCAGTTTTGTAGGTAAGTAGTTCAGTAAGTACTTTAACTAGTCGTTTTGTATTATTGAAAACTGTCGTCGAACCTTTGTTCCTATCTTCTTCCCGCATTGAAAAACTTGTCTCAATTATCCATTCCACCCATATGAGCAGTGAAAGCTGGCGTGATAAAACTTAGAAAGACAAATGTGTCCTTGAAAATGCCATCCGGATAATTTTTTTGTCCGTAACTCTATAGCAATGGGTACGCTAAACCAGCCTAATGCTATATAATAACAATCCCCGTCATCCCTCCCCAAAGTCTCCCCACCCCAACGTCTCCCCAACTCTTGTACACAGAAATATCGCATAAAATTTAATAAGAATTATTTCATTTTATATTTTTCTTATACATTTTTATGTACATTATATTCATATTTGGATTGAATATTTAACATGTAACTGATAAATCGATGGTAAATAATTTCCTTTAATTTGCATTTTTTTTTTTTTGCCAACCTAATTCCATCGTACTTTAAGAGCATCTTCAATTTAATTGAATTGGCAATGAATTTTCACTATCAATCGTTAAGTAAAACTAAGTTAGTTTTATTTCAAAATTCATCCAAACGATGATCGCATTGACGCTAATTCACTTACGTGGATTCTGTAAAAGTATTTTCGTTTCCAGATAATTACAAATTTATTCTCAACGTTATATCCTAAAATTCCATACAATTAATATGGAGCCTTCAATCACAAATTCATAATGCTTTTCATTTTAATAATAAATAGATATAATATGGATAATATTTCAATTTTATGTCGATAGTTATTGTTAACTTTATATGATACTGTTATATATGTTTATTTCATTTATTAACATTTCTCACGTAATCTTGCATTAGATATTGATAAACTCACTTTCTCACAAATATTTCGTTCAATGTTCAATGTCATAGTTTAAACAAATATGAAATAATCGGTGATAAGCAATAAATATATTCATTCTATAAAAAAGTTAAATGTGATTATATTCAATTATACATATTCGGATAATCACTACAATTACTTTGATCGCAATTTATCCGATATATCATAATGATTATATTCATAATTTATATTTTGTTAATTCCAAGAAAGTTTTATTTCTAACAAATTTACTTTAAATACTTTAAAAAAAATACTTTAAATACTATAAATCATAAATGAAAATAAAAATGGTGTGCAAAAACTTGTGGCCATACTCTTCTGCATAATTCCCCAAAACCAGACTTACATGATTGAAATATATTCAATAAATAAAATAACGGAATTAAGAAACTGCATTCTAAGTTAATACATTTATTATACTTTATTATTTATTGTTAATTCATTTTGAACTATTTTCAATCTTAATGACCTTAAAAGCCTTTTCTAAAATATCATTTATTCATTTTATTATTTTCCAATCCTACAGTAACTTTAGATGTATATATATATATATATATATACTTGAAAGAACAAAAGAACAATTATAATATTTTAAATATGATATAATTGACATTCTCATTTCATATCTAATAATCTTATTCAATTATTCTTATATTTTTTTGATAAAATTATAAAATTGAAGATTAAAACTTATCAATTGAGGTTAAATTATTATTTTAATATTATTAAAAATTTTAATGACTAAATTACTTATGTCAAAACAATTGTAAATCATAAATTAAAGTGTGGTTTACTTCTGAACCCGTAAATAGATATTCGATAAGATTTTTTCAACGCCTACACTAATCCATATTGAATATTATTATTAAACAAGTATTTAACAATTTACTATCATATTATTGTAATATGAAAATTAATAATAGCAAATTTATCTTCCACTACCTAATATTTAAACAAATCATAAAATATAAACATTTAACATTGAAATATAGATATTTAACAATATCTCAACTAGTTAAATTATTTGCATCGCTTGTAAATATTATAGGATAAGATACTTTATAGTACCGTAAATGATGTAAAAATGAGATTTAATGTCAAAGTAAATCAGAAATTTAACCAATTTACCTTATTAGCATCCGAAGATTCTAATTTACTTATAGATGTGCCCAAAGGTGTTCCAAGGCATATGAGTTTGTATAGTTTCAGTATAAAGTCCTTCGTTACTTCTTATATTCTATTAGTTTACAAATCTTCGTATTATCTTCGTTGCTCTTGCTTATTGATAAATCTTAATGTTTTTTTCTTTTCAAATGCCAATATAAGAATAATGTCAAAAGTTTTTACTACGTATATAGTAATTCAAATAAAATTTCAAATTTTCTGTCAAATTGTCTAATATAAATTTTGTACTTAATATACGGAATATCAATACACCGATGCTTTATTACTTAATAATTTCTTTATACAAATAATCATCGCTGAAAATAATTAACTGCATATATTAAAAAATACATCCCTATGTATTTGATATACAAGTAACAATTTTTGTTGTTGTTGCAAAACTCAGTTTATAATGTGAATATTAACACGAGTAGAATAACAAGATAGATTTAACAACAAAATAAAAGCATTAACAATAAGATGTAGCAATTAGACTTATTATTAATTTTTTAAAACTATTGCTACCTTCCTAACAGCAAACAGACTATTATTATTATTATTATTATTATTATTATTATTATTATTATTATTATTATTATTATTACTTATTTATTTATTTTTTCAATTGAAATGAGCACTCGTGTACTTGTAGCACATCTCAGGAAATGTACTGATAATTAACATAGATGTAAACCAATTAATGGCGAGCTGCTTGCCGAGCACAAGATATAGATTCACGAAAGGCACGAGTAAATTTACTTTCTATAGCCCAACACTTCCGCAGTTATATTTTCACAAATAAATGTTGAGCACTCGATTCTTATCTTGATAGTTCACAGAATCTCTCCATCCACCTCACACGTAAACAAACGCATGCTTGCTTATCGTTAGGTTAGTTCCTAACCTTTCCCTCGCTATACGTTATAAATAACCGTGCATAACTCCTGATTTCGATAATTTTCGCGTATTCTGCGCAAATCCTTCGCGAATTGCAATAAGAATTGCATAAGCCGCGCGTCGGAGTAAAAATGATCGACGGCATTTGGTAAGGAAAGGCTGACATTGAGACGCAGTCGATGGTACACAAAATCATAATGTAAAAACGATAGAAGAAAGACTACGAGGAGAAGAGCCGTACTACGTAACGGTTTTCTCCTCTCCCACTTTTATTCGCTCGTTCGCTCGCTCCGCGCACACGTACAAGCCCGCGCACGCAACTACCAACGACCAACACTATCTCAGTTGATCAGGACGGTGTGTTTGGAGACTCGAGTCGAGTCTTGAAGCATCGAAGCTTTTGTGTTGCGTCCAAGGGGCGTAAAATGCACACTCGACCTCGTGCTATCATTTCCCACGCTAAGCCAATATTCTTCGAGATGCAGCTTTCGAAATAAGGAATTGGCTTCCATCGCAACGATTATCATTTCAGTGTCGATAATGTCGGCTGAGGCCACGTTCGCACGTTGACTGCGTCAGGATGCACTTTTAGAGTAATTGTTAAGCGTTTGGGCTTACAATTATCTAAGATCTCTGTCGAAATATAAATAACATTATTATGAAATTAATTAAATAGCTTTGCTCTTTACTCATTCGACTCATTGCATTATTACAAATTTACAAGCAAGTATAGATGGTAGATATTTATTTATAATACTGAGAGTCTCCATCTTTTTTCAAATTTTATCGAGAAAATTCGAGGCTCGATATACGGCTTCGATCATAATCGGTAGGAAACAACTGTGCGTCGATCACAACGGGCGAGCAGATTTACTAGCACAATTCGCCCAACAAACCTCTTGACACGCCTACTTGTAAATATTATACTTCACTCGTGCTTTGAATAAATATGTGTTTAAATACTCACAGTCATCATTTTTACATTACTTATCCAATTGCCAATATAAAAATTGATTTATCATCGAATTTTAACTGTAAATATTATTCAAACGTCAAATCGTAAAATGTTCAAAATGCTTTTCTCAAGATAATTGTGCGAGGCAGTTATAGATTAAACACATACGTCTATAATAACCATACGCATGAACTTTAACTTCATATACTTTAAATTTTCAACTTACATAAATAAGATGAAAATTCTACTCATTGAGTGTGCTATTTATAGCGATGGATTCTTTTTTGTCTGTTTGTTTGTTTGTTTCTTTGTTTCTCTTGTTTTTTATTTCTTCATATGTCGATTTTCTACGTGACATCTTAAGCTATATTTTCTCTTGCACGTATATTCACAATATTCGCAACACAATTTTCTTGGATTTCCACATGATTGACGATAATGCGTTTGCATTGTATTTTTATTTTTATAACTTTTACCACATTCTGGACATTTGTGAATTTCAATTGGAGGTGGATCTAGAATAAAGGCCAACGTTATATTCGAATTTTCACAGTGTCGTTCAACAAGATACTTACCAAAAAAAATTTGATTATGTTCGTAATTTACATCTCCCGTTATGAAATATGTGTTACTTTCATCTCGTACATAAATGTGTGATACAGCTAGCTCACCATCTGAAAAAATTAATAATAATTAATACAAAATTCAACGGTAATAAATAAATACACACACGCACACACACGCGCGCGCGCGCGCACACACACACACGCACATATATATATATATATATATATATATATATAAATAACCCTATATGTATAACAAATATTTGTGTGTACGTGGTGGGAGGGGGCGGGGGTATATATATATAAATATATATATATATATATATATATATATATATATAATATATAATATATCAACATAGGTGTGTGTAATATTCTGTATGTGTAATGAGCATACATACAATACTTAATTCTTGTAATATTGTTATAATAATAAAAATTCTCGTAAATATTTTACATAAATTTTATTTTTATTAGAAATCAATTATAATAAAGATATTTACTTAATTTAATTATTCAAGCACATATAAAAGGGGAGTTTTGCTGTACTAAAATCTATTTGCAAGAATAATGCTTGACAATAAAAAGAAACAATAATGATAATTTATAATTTTATAGCAAACAGTTATATTTTATATGGTAGAAAAATTAATCTATCATTATATCTATGTATAATAATATTTCGTAATTCAAACTTAATCTACGTAAATCACCTATGCTTCTATGCGCATTGATAGCAACATTTACCACATGCGCGTATACACTCACATGCACATAGATTCAAACAGCAGGCGCACAAAGGTGCGCGTACACACTCACGTACAGGAACTTTATTATAGATATATAACTAAAATATTTTATTATCGTATTAATAGAAATCATAGATGCAGTGTATTGGCAATTAAAGTGAGAAAACAACATTTCTTCTCTTTAATGAATCGACAATATATCACGAGTATATATAAATTTAAGATTTCTTAATTAGAGTTTCTTGATGAATCCTATACCTTTTTAACGCGGACGCACGCGTAAATAGATGGGAATGAAAAAAAAAAAAAAATCTTCCTGCTCTGTAGTTGCTGTAATGAAATGACGAATGATAAAGTTCTCCCGAATCTCCTAGGATGCATCCGATACCGACGCGAGTTTGTTCAGCCGAGTACAAGTATCATCTCCTCTCGTAGCCCTTTAAGCAACGAGGACAGAAGTACAGGAACTCGGTTTGCGAACGAGCGTTCTGCGACCTCCGTTTCCGCTCTCGTCTCTCAAGGCTGATGCCGACACCTGAAGTGGAACTAGGCTTCCTTGACGCCCCTTGCCGCTCCACGTCGCTTGCCTAAGCACTGAATAATCGTAGATATGTTAATGCTATTGCGTGTCTGAGTGCTTGAGTGACTGGGGCGGGGCGGGGAGAGGCAAGAGGTAAGGATGCGCCGAGCTTGCCAGTGTTTTCGAGGGGCTAGTGATCCTTCGATCACTACGTGTTTCAATTCTGTCCATTTTAATTATTCATTGGGCATTACATCCAACTCCGAGGCTAATTCTGCCCTTTTGAAGGATATTTTTCGGTGCCTTGGCTGCTAATTTCATCACTAACTCGTTTCTTCGTACGTTAATTTATGTGACGAGTGTACATGAATGTTGTTATTCTTATTGTTATTTTTACAGTTGTTATTCTTACAAATTATAAGCAACGATAATTATAAGCTTCGATACATTTCTCCGGCACTTGTATTATTCTAACAATCCAATGATGTCAGTCGTATTAGAGCGAAAAAATTATTATGCATAATGTCAATATCAGGTAAACATCAAATTACCACACGAAATTTAGGAAATCCATGTAGACTTTTAACGTATAACGCAAAGTGCCTACTCGATTATCTATGAAATGCAGAAGCTACTTACGTTTAGCCTCAACTTGTAAATCCATTGTACTATCTCCATGTTCATCAATATCAACATTCTCATGCTTTATGAATAAATCCATTCCATCTGAAATAAAAACATTGATCATCGTTATTACAAATTTTTACAGCATTAATTGTGAAAAGTAGAATATTTTCAGAAAAAATATTTTATTTTATAGAATATTTAGTAAGAAGATTTTATTTTATTAATGCTGTGATATTATTCGTTGTCAATGCACAATTAATATATACGCAGAAAATATATTATTTCAGCCAAGTGGCTTCATATTTTCCGTCATGCGATCTAATTGTATGCAAATAAACGTATTAAAAAAAAAAAAAAAAAAAAAAAAAAAAAAAAAAAAAAAAAAAAAAAAAACAATGTATTAACTTGACTATTATTATTATTATTATTATTATTATTATTATTATTATTATTATTATTATTTTATTTTATTAATAACATCAAACATGCAATGCAACGAAGAGATTATGTATAAATTTTTTTTTCTACTATAAAATATGATGAAATTTCAACAAAAAATTTATAATAATATGTGTTTGAAAAATTATTGAACAAATATTAATTTTAGTCACTTAATATACGGAGAGTTTTATTGTTTTATTTTAAGTCTTTTGTGCCTGTTTATCGATTCAAATTCAAACTTACTCGTTTTGACAAAAAGTATAAATAACGGTAATTTATTTGAGTCTATATTTTCCAGAGCAAATTTTGTAAATAAG